TCAGACCCTCCTTACCCACTGGCTGTCTCTGGGCTAAGTCCCTCTTGGGTTCTCCAGGATGTGCTCATCTGGCTTCTAGTCCAGGTCCCCTTCTCTGAGCACCAAAGTGTCAACCAACCCATTTTCCTGAGTAGGTCAGCACTCAGTTTCATGCTCCGGATACATCACTATCATTTCCCCTCTGTCAGCTACTTTCCTTGTTGTTTGTCTTTATGGGTTGATAACCTTTCAAATGTAACTTTAGTCTCAGAAGAGAGTACACACCTGGGTCTACAATGTGTTTTTACTGGGGTCGGCATTTGTTAAGAAGGCACTTGGGATGCCCACATCCTGCATCAGAGTCCCTGGGTTACAGTCCTGGCTCCACCTCCGATTCCAGCTTCTTATTAGTGCATCCTCTGGGAGGCAGCAGGTTATGGCTGAGGTCATTGGGTCCCTGCTGCCCATGTGGAAGACCCAGGTTGAGCTCTGGGCTCCTGACTTTGGCCTGGTGCAGCTCTGGGCCTTTGCAGGAGTGAACCGGTAAGTGGTGTATCTTTCTCTGTCCCTCTCTGTCTCTGTTGCTCTGCCTTTCAAAGAGTGAGACAGAGAGGGTTGGTGGGGGGCTGGAGAGAAGTAAGAGAGATTGGTTCACTCTCAACACCTGCAACAGCAAGGCCTCAGCCAGGCCGGGAGCTAGGAGCTCCATCACAATTTCATGCGTGGGTGACAGAAACCCAAGTCTTGAGCCATCGTCTGCTGCCTCCCATGAAGCATTAGCAGAAATAGAAGAGCTTGGACTCAAACTGACACTCCACCATGGGATTTGGGCGTCACAAACTGACTTAACCCACTGTACCATAACAACTACCTCCAAAAAATACATATAAAAAATTAAAAATGTGTTTTACTGATTTGCCTTTCACATCAACAAAAAATTCTACCAATTCATTTATTTAAAAAAAGTACACTCTAAAAATATTGTTGTCTTAATCTTGAAATTGTTGATAATGTGTGAAGATTTTATAAAAAGGTCTGAATACTTCTAGGTGAAAATTGTGTTTGTTTTCCTAAAGTTTAATTGGAAATGTAATATAATAATATATAATAATAATAATATATAATAATATAATAAATAATCCATACTGTGTTTTGATCCATAATAGTCTATTTTCATTAGAATTTACCGAATTGGGTATGGTTGCTGAGTTGCTTTTTAAAATTCAAGTTTATTTGCAAAAAAAGTTTTTGGGCTCCATGAATAGATTTTCCCACATATTATCGTAAAGTCTTGGAAAAAGCAGCAGAGGATGACCCAGGTGTTTAGGCCTCTGCTGCCCACGTGGGATACTTGGAAGAAGCTCCTGGCTTCTGGAAGTTGTGGCTGCCTGCAGGCCAGCATCCCATATGGGTGCGGGTTTGAGTCCCAGCTGATTCACTTCTGATCCAGTTCCCTGCTAATACTCGGTAGAAAGCCGCAGAGGATGGCCCAAGTACTTGGACCCCTGTACCTATGTGGGAGACCCAGAGTGGGCTTCTGGCTCCTGGCTTTAGCCTGGCCAAGCTCTGACCATTGTGACCATTTGGGGAATGAACCAGTGGATGAAAGATCTCTCCTTTTCTCTTTCTCTGTGTAACTCTGCCTTTTAAGTAAATAAAATCTTCAAACTCTCTCTCCCTGTTTCTCTGTCTCTGTATCTCTGACTTCCAAGTAAAATAAATAAATCTTTTAAAAGATTAAAAAGCAAAATAAAATTCAGCTGTTTACAATAAAAAGAATGTAGGTTATATGAATATTAGTTCTAGTGTAAAAGCAGTGCAATTCAAGGATAGCAGGAACAGAAAACGTTGGAGTTTCTGATGTTTAATAAAACAGTAATCACTTTAGGATCTGATGAGAATTAGAATGCTGAGAACTTTTTTTTTAAACTTTTATTTAATGAATATAAATTTCCAAAGTACGGCTTATGGATTACAATGGCTTCCCCCCCATACCGTCCCTCCCACCCGCAACCCTCCCCTTTCCCACTCCCTCTCCCCTTCCATTCACATCAAGATTCATTTTTGATTCTCTTTATATACAGAAGATGAGTTTAGCATACATTAAGTAAAGATTTCAACAGTTTGCTCCCACACAGAAACATAAACTGAAAAATACTGTTTGAGTACTAGTTATAGCATTAAATCTCAATGTATAGCTTTAGTACTATGAACTTTATTATTATATCAGAAGTTAATATTTTCAGAAAATTATGGGTATCATTCTCAACATTATTTGCATGTTGATTTTGATCAAAGGAAAGGAGAGAGTTTTGAACTAACTTTATTTTAGTGCTGCTTTTCTACTCAATGTATGTGAATAATGTATGATTTTCTTTCAGATTGTTGAATTCTGGGCCTAGTTATTCCTCCTGTCTCTCTGTGAGACTGTCATATGTTAGCTGCCAGTTAATCTTTGTGACTCTCTTCTCTTTAGTATAATATCCATTATTTTTGCCAGGTGTGGAATTCTGCATGGTTTTGATTCTAGGGAAACTGATTTCTAAGCCTGAAAAAGTGGATTTGTTGCAAAGGACTTTATTTTGAGCCCATCTATATATGCATTCAATAACTTCAGATTGTCTTTTGATTGTTAGCATTTTGGTTGCTTCTAGTTATTTTCTACTACAAATAATGAGTTGTTGAGATTATTAAGTAAAAAGATACTATATCATTAAGCAATGATTGTTTTTTAAGCGGCGATTGTTATTGACAAATAGCTCTCCCAGAAATCTCTCACCAATTAACAGCAGTCTGTGAGAATGCCCACGTAATCTCACATTTACCAGCCATGGGAATCACCAGACCTTGAATACTGTTGGCAGGCTGAGAGAAGAATTGCATCTTGTGATGTTACTTTGTAGTTTATAAGTGAAATTAATTTCTATGTTTAACCATCATTTATATTTAGTTTCTTGATAATGCACTTGTATCTATTTCCCATCTTCCTGTTGGGTTTTCCATTTTTTTTATATTGATGTCTAGTGTTTTTATAAATTAAAGAAGAAACTGCTTTTTCCCCTTGTAGCAAATGTGTTTTTTCACTTTCTTGATGGGTCTTCCATCTTGCTGGTGGTTCTATTTGCCACTCTGAAGTTTCAGATTTTTATGTAATCATATTCATCAGTCCTATCTTTTATAGCTGCTGGGTTTGGTGCCTTATTAGATGGGCTATCCCACTCTACAATTACAAATAACTTCTCTTAAGCATTCTTCTAAACTCTATTTGCTCAGTTTTTAATGTTTGAATTTTTTATCTATCTGGTAGTTACTGATTTGTAAAGAGTAAGTGGTTTGTAGATGTGTTTTTGAAGATTTATTATTTTTGAAAGGCAGAGTTAGAGAGGGAGAGACAGAGGTCTTTATTTTTTAAAGGTTTTTATTTACTTATTTGAGAGGCAGAATTACAGACAAGAGAGAGGGAGAGACAGGGAGAGGTCTTCCATCCACTGGTTCACTCTCTAGATGGCTACAGTGGCCAGAGCTGGGCCAATCTGAAGCCAGGAGCCAGGAGCTTCTTCCGAGTCGCCCATGTGGATGCAGGTGCCCAAGGAGTTGAGCCATCTTCTGCTGCTTTCCCAGACTATAGTAGAGAGCTGGATCAAAAGTAGAGCAGCCAGGACTTAAACCTGCGCCCATATGGGATTCTGGCACTACAGGTAGAAGCTTAGCCCACTACGCCACAGCGCCTGCCCTGAGAGATCTTTTGTCTGTTGGTTCAGTCCCCAGATGACTGCAACGGCTAGGGCTAGGCCAAACAAAAGCCAGGAGCTTCTTCCCATTCTCCCATGTGGTTACTGTGCCCCAAGCACTTGGACCCTCCTCCGCTGCTTTCCCAGGCCATTAGCAGAGAGCTGGATCAGAAGTGGAGCAGCCTAGACTCGAACTGGCACCCATATGGGATGCTGGCACTGTAGGCGGTGGCTTAACCCGCTACACCACAACACAGGCCCCATTGTAGACATTTAATAGAAATCTAACTGGCAAACTTGATTTCAAATACAATACCTGAAGGATAGGTAGCTAATCCTTAGTGACCTGGACGAAAGACCAGTTGTTCTTTCATGTGGTGGCCAACAAAGGCTAGCACTGGTCTGCTTTATAAGGTGTCACTGAGAGATACTGCAATTTATAAAAAAGGATTTATTTATATATTTGAAAGGTTGAGCTACACAGAGATAGAGAAACAGAGAGTGGGGGAGGGAAAGAGAAAAAGAGAGAGAGAAAGAGATCTGTCTGCTGGTTTACTCCCCAAATTACCACAACAAAGTCTGGGCCAAGCTGAAGCCAGAAGCAGGGAACTCGTACCTGGGGTGGCAGGGGCCCAAGTACTTAAGACATCTTCTGCTGGCTTCCTGCATAGAGTTAGCAGGGAGCTGGACTAGAATTGGAGCAGCCAGGATTCATATCCTCTGCTGTGGGATTCCAGCAATGCAAGCTGTGGCTTAACCCACTTTACCCCAGTATTGGCCTTATGAGGAAGATGTAATACTTCAGCATACATTAGTAGATAGCTACTTTGTAAATTGGAGGTCTTTCTAATAGGGTGTTGAATTTTTTGAAAGACTTAGCAAAAATCTCAGATACGTACTTGAGACTGACTTGAAAGTTCTTCTATTCCTCTATCCCATCGCACCTTCTCTCCCTTTCTTCCCTGATTTTTCAATTCCTTTGGTGATATTGGTGTTTGGTGTTGATAGTATGAAGATATTGTAATGCTGCTTCTATGTACAAGTTGCTCAGTGCTGAGAGGTATACCTAATGCATTTGTGGAACTTTTGCACTTTAAGTGCCTTTTGCAAGGCATTTGTTGATGGTTACATGCTCTGTTGAAGGTGGTTAAAAATTGCCTCTTTTTCTGATACAGAACCAAGTATTTTAAATAATTGAAATGATTTATTGGTATAGCTAATATATGCAGTAAGAATGTAGGAATTTCTGTGACTGTTCATTTACACTGTTGATTTCCTTCCATTATACAGGTTCACTTTGATGGCTGGAATAGTTGCTATGACTATTGGATAGATGCAGATTCTCCTGATATTCACCCTGTTGGCTGGTGTTCAAAAACTGGACATCCTCTTCAGCCTCCTTTGAGTAAGAGACACAAGGATAACTTGAATGACTGTTTTCCATTCCCTTGCATAGCATGCTTAATATTTTGTCATATACTTCCCCTCTTCTCTTTCTCTTTTTTACAAGTTTCTTTTCTATGTGATCCTTTCACTTTTACTACATTTTTAATTGCCACCATCACAAAAATATAAAAGAAAAAATTTAGTTCCTGAAAAAATAAGTGTATGTAAACATTCTTTTACTTTTGTTTAGAATTAAACATTATCTTTCAAAATTAATACTGAAATTTTAGAAGACAGTGTGTCAGACTATCCAAATATTATATGTCAATATCAGTAGTCTATAATGATTTGATTTGATGTTACAGCTTTGCAAGATATTATGATAGTTAGATGTTGGGAAAAGTGTAAAAGAATCTCCCTTGTGTTTAGAACTACATGTGACTCTCTAATTACCACAATAAAAATTGTCATTTAAATGTGATTTTTTTCAAAAAGATACATGAAGGAATTAATATATGCTGTTGTCTATTGTGAAGAAAATATATACATTGTGAAAAAATATGTAGGAATTACAGCACTTATTATACAGTTTTAAAAAATTTAGTGTGCTTACTATACCTTTGGCTTTACTTCAGGGTGTATATATAATACACAGTATAAATGCATAAAAATAGAATGCACATGGTATTCATTGTAGCATGTTTAAAATAACAAAACTTGGAACAATTATTTTATTTTATGGAATGAAATATTGCCCAATTCTAGAATAGAAAATAAAGCCAATTAATATCTTTAAACTAAAAAAATAAATAAATGAATCACGAAGTTGGGGAACAAAAGTTGGCTACATGAATTATAGTACATGAAACTATAGATACTATGCAACTGTCATCAGGAAAATTAATCTTGCAACAGAAAGTTAAACACCAAAGAAGAATGTTTCAGAGCAGTGCCCTTCTATTTTGTCCCTTTTATGTGGCAAAATAAAACAAACCAAAAGCCCTGATAGATATGCATGTGGAGGTGCGGATGTGTATCTGATGGCTTAGCACAATCCCCAGAGGCACACAGACCTGACTGGTAAGGAGAGGGAGGGTCTGAAATCGAGAAGGGAGAGCATGAAGGGGACAGGAGCTGTTACTCCCTCTTACTCTGTTGTAGGGTTTGAAGATTTCACAGTATGGGTGTTCCTGTATTATATGCTAGAAGATAGTTGTTTAGAGTCTTCTCATTAATTCGGATTTGGTTTTGTCAGGGATGTGTGACATTTTGAAAGAAGGTTAGAGTGAACTTTAACCATTTTACTACTGAAGACAGAAAGGAATGAACAGGATCATTGGGAAAAACCTGAGGAAGTAGAGATTTTAACATTAATTTTTATGGAATCCAGTTCTTTTTCTGTTTTTATATGTTAATGCAAAATTAGATTTCTAGGGATTTTTTTTTCGTCTTTGTTTAGGTCCAAGACATTGGATCCTTAGAGTCACTTGCTTAACTTTTTGTCTTTTCTCTTTCTGCTTTTTCATAGGCCCCTTAGAGTTAATGGAAGCTTCAGAACATGGTGGATGCTCAACTCCAGGATGTAAAGGGCTTGGCCATTTTAAGAGAGCGAGGCACCTGGGCCCTCACAGGTATGTGGTTACCATCACTCATGTAGGATTTCTCACGTGGTCCCGTGGAGGTTACCTGTCCAGATATGAATACATATGTGATACTGATTTCCATGTGTAATAAATAGATGTGAACTAATTTTAAATTCAGATCCATAAGCTGTGTGGTTACCATGGTGATTATGTAAAAGTGAAAGGTATGTCTATGGTTAAATCTTCCTTGGAGAAAATGCATTCATGGTTTAAAATAGATTTACTCTAGCTGTTTGGGTTTTCTGGGTAACCTGACTAGTTTTTACCAGATATTTGATTTCTGAAATAGTTATTTTGGGTTGATGATTGATAATGAGAAGGGAGAGGCCCTGCTGAAATCATCTGCTATATTTTATGATTGGTTGACATGATAATTTGAGTAATGAGAGTTGAGATTATTGTAGATTTGTAGCGAAGATCACAAAAAACATAATATAAGTAACATGAGAATACATTGGTAAGAAAAGCAGTTTTCAGAAATTTTCTCTTATCCCTGAGTAACTTAACAAAAAGAAGCTGTTTAGATATATCTTAAAATAATAATTTCTCAGAGTAATGTTCTAACTGTATGGTAATTGGATTACCTAGTAAGAACAGTGATTCCTCATTTATCTAGTTTGTACAGGTTGTGAATCTGGGTCATTACTTTTTTTTTTTTTTCATGGTTGCACTCCTCCAAGAGTTCATCAGAATTGCAAAATTGATGTAATTATTTTCTGGATAGTGTTTCCTCTTTCTTTCCTCTCTGCCACCTCAAATCCTGCTTATCTGCCTTCTGCAACACACCTCCCCCCTGCTTCTTTTTAATGAGGTTTAGTATGTTCCAGAGTTAAAAAGGGCATGGAAAGGATGATTCCATTTGCAAATATCCATTTAAGAATCTTTTTGGTTGCTTGTGTGCCTGTAAACCAAGTTATATGATTAACTTAAGCACAATTAAATATATTACATCTTAGAAGTTTTTAAATATTGCCTAGTGAAGGTAGCTGGATTATTTTTCAGGCTTTGTGTCAGTCTTAGGAAGTAATTCATCAGCATGCTAAATTTCCATTATACGTCCAGAAATTCATTTAGCAAGAATTTTTGAGCAGCGGTTTTTTCAGTAAGAACAACTAACTTATTGCACTTTTATTTCCCCTTTAAATAGTGTTGCTCTAGTTGCTTTACATTTGTTGGATAACTTCTCAAATAACCCTATAATATAGGAACCTTATTTTCCCTCAATTTTTTCTGAGACCACCACAGAACTGGAAAGGGTTAGTAAGTTACCTTACCTATTGCTGGTAAGGGGGGCGCCTCATGTTTCTCAAGCATCTGTGATCTTGACCACTCCCCCATAACTGCCTCTCAAGAAACCACTCCAGGAATTAGTCACAGACCTGGTCTTTAAAGAACTCATGCATTAATGGAACTGTAAAAGCTGACTATAAATTAATTTAAAATATAAAATACATTGGGGTCAGTGCTGTGGCGTAGTGGGTCAAGCTGCCGCCTGGAGTACCGGCATCCCATATGGGTGCCAGTTCAAGTCCTGGCTGTTCCACTTCTGATCCTGCTCTCTGCTGTGGCCTATGAAAGCAGTAGAGGCTGGCCCATATCCTTGGGCCTCTGTACTCGCATGGGAGACCCAGAAGAAGCTTCTGGCTCCTGGCTTCGGGTTGGCACAGCTCTGGCCAATTGGGGAGTGAACCAGCAGATAGAAGACCTCTCTCTCTCTGCCTCTCCTTTTCTCTCTATGTAACTCTAACTTTCAAATAAATAAATAAATCTTTAAAATATATAAAGATACAAAATAATAACCAACACTGAAGCTTTGGCACTTGTGCCTTTCTACCATAAACTCTCAAGAAATTCTTTGGACTAAAAGGAATTTGCTGCTCTTTGAAGGAAAAGACATTTTAAGAATGGGTGAATACTGGTAACATATTGTTGGGTACACTGGAGGATTCCAAAATTTTATTTGGTGTTTTGGGAAGAAGACTCATCCTGCCAAAGGGTGCACAGTCTCCTTAGGAGTGCTTTGAAGCCTGAGAGGACAGCTTTGTCTTTGGGACAAGATGCGGGGTGAGAGTCTTGGCCCTAACTGATGGCCCAGCCATCCTCCAGGACCACTCCCCCCATGTGTGTGCATAGACCTCAGAGCGTTCGTCAGGTGCGCCACACTAGTTCACTGAGTTTCTGTGGCTCTCTTTACAGCATTTCTTCCTAGATGCAGTATTCAATTTATTCAGTTGTGTTGTTTTTTTCAAAGATTTATTTATTTATTTGAAAGTCAGAGTTACACAGAGAGAAAAAGGCAGAGAGAGAGGTCTTTCATCTTCTGGTTCACTCCCCAATTGGCAGCAACGGCCGGAGCTGGGCCAATCCGAAGCCAGGAGCCTGGAGCTTCTTCCAGGTCTCCCATATGGGTACAGGAGCCCAAGGACTTGGGCCATCTTCTACTGCTTTCCTAGGCCACAGCAGAGAGCTGGATCAGAAGTGGAGCAGCCGGGACTAGAACCAGTGTCCATATGGGATGCCAGCACTGCAGGCGGCGGCTTTACCCACTACACCACTGCGCCAGCCCCTTGAGTTTGTTAAAAGCTGAGAGAAATTATATGATGCATGAAGAGTTTATGGAGAAATGTAGTACAGAAGCTCTCTCAAGATAATTGGAACCGTAATAGAGAATTGCTCATTTTCTTGAAAGGAGAGGAAGACATACACCTAACATAAGGTTATGGCTTAAAAGACAAACATTGATAAAGCAACTGTATTCATTTTCTTGTAGATTCTATGCCTCGGGCATAGTTGTTGGTTGACTCTGGCCTCCAGAGAGGGATCCAATTCACAGAACTTGTGGGAGGTTCCAGCTTTCGCCCAAGTGCTATCTCCCTTCTCCTGAGCCTTTGAACTGGATTTTCTTAGGGTTCCTGAGCATGCTGTCCTGTGTAGAACACTAGGAGTTCCTTTGCCAGCATGATATTAATCCTTAGCAGGCACAGCCAGTTTTCCATTTCATTAGTAAACTGCTGGACTAGATTGCGGCATCATGGATATTCTTTGAAAGGTTCATTTCACTGGCGCTTATTTTTGTACTTCCTAAGAATGCTGTGTTTAGAAAAAATGTAATGAGAAAATTCTCTTTGGATTAATTTACTGAGAAACTGCATAAATCAAACTATGCATTCTTTGCTTAGATAACAAGGAAAGTTGCTCTCCTAGCAAGAATAATCAATTTTATGATCACATAAGCAAAAGACTGTTTTGACTAGCATTTCTTGTTACTTTCCCTGAAGATTACAAATTCAATGTGATCTAAGACTGTGTCTCAGCAATGACATTTGAGAATGTAACTTATTTTTTAATGTTGAAATATAAATGACCAGTGAGAGAATTGAATGTGGATATAGTGTTCTCATCTCTAGGGATATTCAGTAGCCAAGTGGCTTAAATCTAACTCTGTAACCATAACCAGAGAACATTAATATTTGTTGTGTCGTGGTATTCGCTTTCATAATTAATTTATTTGGCCTGTTGAGAGGTCAAAGAATGGGAGGGAATTAAAGGAGCACTAAAATACATTATAGTAGATATTCTATATAATAATCTAATGTCTTCAGAAGTAAAGGTTTTCTATGGTATGATTTGATATTGGACAAATTAAGCAAAAGAAGCAAAAAAATGGGGTATTTTAAATAAAGTAAAGTCCATAGAAAGTTTTAAAAACTAGTAACTCTGGATGTACAGGTGCAATTGTAAAAACATGTTCACTCATTAGCCATCTCTTGTTGAACATGGACTTGCATTGGCTCTGCCATGTGGGCTGTGTGGAGGAGAGGGCCCCTACTGCTAACTAAGAAGGTCAGTCTGGTTTGAACATACTCTCACTGAGAGATGAATGGAGCAGCACTTGGAGAGAAACAGTCGCTTTTTTTCTGAGAGCAGAGCCTTCATAAATGAAGCATGTTATGGAGCTTTTGATGTTGTTTGTTTGTTATGGTTAAATGGATCCCTTCTTGTAAAGTGGTAATTGATGGGATTTATTGATAATTTCCTCTGTTCCACACATTGCTAAGGACCTACTTAGGTGACTTCATTTAATACTCACGGCAGCTGTGTAAGTTAGGCACTGTTGCATCCTAGTTCTACAGATGAAGATGTTTGAGTGAATGCCCGAGATCATACACTGGCAGAAGGATTCAGACCAGGCCGGTGTGGCTCTTTGGTCTCCATTGTGTGCAGAGCACTGTGTCCTGATACAGCCTTCCATATGGTGAGCCTTCATCTACTGTCTCTCTTTATGTGCAGTAGAGTGGACATTAAGACTGGAGACATGAGACAGAGAGAAAGGTCTTCCTTTTGCCGTTGGTTCACCCTCCAGTGGCCGCCGCGGCTGGCGTGCTACGGCCGGCGCACCTCGCTGATCCGATGGCAGGAGCCAGGTACTTATCCTGGTCTCCCATGGGGTGCAGGGCCCAAGCACCTGGGCCATCCTCCACTGCACTCCCTGGCCACAGCAGAGAGCTGGCCTGGAAGAGGGGCAACCGGGACAGAATCCAGCGCCCCGACCGGGACTAGAACCTGGTGTGCCGGCGCCACAAGGCGGAGGATTAGCCTAGTGAGCCGCGGCGCCGGCCCCATATGGTTTTTTTGTTTGTTTGTTTGTCATGACAGTGTAAGATTAATTGTGTGAGCACTTATAAAGCTGGGGATTTTGCTGAATTGTTTTAAAAAAATGTGTATATAATTAAAAGGGTTATAAAGGTAGGAGTGGAAAGCAGTGAATAAGGCAGTCCCGCAATCTTACCTAATAATTGGAGCATTGTTTTCTAGGGAAAACAGCTTCCTTAGAGGAGCAGATGGGGTGGGGTTTTGTTTCCATAACTGATAGGGATAATTTGTTAAAGAGCAGAATGCAACCTACTACTATCCTTACAGTAAAGAACAATATATTCCTGTGTGAACCTATACCCTTGCTTTATGCGAAGTTGCATATTAGTAAAGGC